GTCCAGAGATCGCGTCTTCGTCTTCTTTACCTTCTATTCGCTTTACCTATCAGCTTTCACCCTTCTAGGTCGAGTGGCAAGCCAGCCGATATGGCGGCTGAACAGTCGGTTCGGATTCAAGTTCCCTGCGTGTACAGTAACGTGCGACCGTGGTTAGGGCTAACAAACTTAAGTTTCCAAGTGGTGCAAATGAATTATTCAAACCTGTCTAAAACCCCTACTAATAACGTGTGCTTGATAGCCATCTAGTGGATTCTATATTGATTCTTGCAGAAATCCTGGTGGAGCGGTATCCAGCCTACTGTATCAATAATGTTGTAGACAGGTTGGGTGGATAAGTTGACACAATTAGGAGAAAACTCACAGCTCTTGGTGGGAGCACGTCGTAGACCAGTTGACTAGAGCGTTAGTCTAACACTTGCAGGCGTGGGTTCAGATCTCACTGAGCTCGCCGAGCTTTTTTACAATATGGGTCTCGTTAATTAAGTCCAAAATGCAGTACAGGTGTGCAACTCGGATTACTAAGCAATGAGGGGTCTATTGCCCATTCATCTGCCGACTGTCGATTTATCTGACGTAGTTGCATATCCATTCCCTTTACTGGTAATGACTTCATGTCTAATAATCCTCAGTCATAGGTCTTTGAGGCACAGCGGGCCTCTGAGGCAGACCCACAGTGAAAGAAAGATTCACGCAGCAGCTGTTCTGTATTGAAAAAATATATATATCAAATGTGTTTCGATATTTAGACATGACTATAAGGTAGCAGGTCCGCTTGGATCAATATGGTTAATCCAGAATAGTGACATAAAGGTCGGGCGAAATGTTGAAAATAGTGCTATGACAATTGTATCCTAGATTCCTCTGCTAAAGTATAATGATAAATAAGTTTTCAAGGCAATTTATTTCACAAAAATATGTCTTCATAAAGAAAGAAGTGATTGGCTAAAATAAAATGACATCAAGGTTTCCTCCGCGCTGGATGCAAAACTAATATATGTCCACGTTCTAAAATTGTAGATAAGTAAAATAAAACTAAGTAAGTGAGTATGCAATTTTGTACGTGATAAAAAAGAAAGCCTTCCGGAAATTTAAACTGGTAAGATCCAAAGATATACGCATTCACAGAGAACGAAGCGATCTAAGAACAATCGAATGTGAACAGATCTATACCTAGATAGTTTTGCAGGCAAAGACAAGGGAGACTGGAATGGTCTTTTCTGGCTTGAAAATCGTCGTCAGCCAGTCATACCCAGCCCCAATTGGGGCTCCCCTCGAGGCTCAAACTCGCGACTTTTTGGTCAGAGTGTAACGGCCTAATCATTGAGCCACGGGTTTATTGTCTATGTAGGGGTCTAAGTGGTGATTGTACTCAGATCACAACAATCATGAGGTCGAATCCCAGGTTGGAGGTAAAAGGTAAGAGTCACCAGAATGAGGGGTTTATTGTATACAGAACGCCCTGTTGCAGTCTCACATGGCAGTGGCCACTGGCGAAGCCAGGGCGAGCGCTGACAGCGTCCAACCAGGCCCGAGAGTGTTGACTGCGTGCTGTGTGGGGTGATGACAATTGCTTTTACATGACCGTGAAGCAAGTTCAAGTGTTATGTCGGTCGAGGGGTGTCGTATTCAAGTGGCCCTTAGGCAGGCGCGCTTATTTACTGAATAAGCTGAGGTCAACTGTCGGGCGCGCTAGCACGCCGAAGAACAGGGAGACGCTGACGCAGCTATTATCGGTTAGCTAGAAACAGCTGCGAGGTCAGGCCTCGGGGGACGGGAGCGCCAACGAAAGAAAGCATTGGAAAAGTTTTTTGTGACGACAGGACTATGGGGCAGCGAGCCTTGGA